TTTCAAATTCCCGTTTGATATAAGATAATATAAACTCAAAGCTGGCCTTTGTAATCAAAACTCCTGTGCAAATGCCGGAATAGGACTCCTTCTCTGCAAAGCACATTACATTATAATTTCCATTTACATTGTTATCCAGATCCGACAGCAGGAAAACTGCCAATTACAGGATTAGGTTATTAAAAAAATAGAAACAAATACATGACACAATTTAAACTGATTATTAATCAAATGAAAATAAAACTATAAGAGAGCTAAAAGCATTAAAACATTTGTTTTATACAAAGACAAAAACAAAGCGACCCACATAACAAGCACACATTGGGGAGGCAGAAAGACAAGCACACAAACAATAAAACCCAAGAACAGAGCAAAATAAGACTAAGAAGGAAAGAAAAGATGGCAGTAGTAACACGTGGATTAATAATAATTAATAATGATTGAAAATTTATTTTAAAAATGCGCCCCTTCCATAAAAGTGATCAACGGTGCAGTACAAGTTAAATTAAAAAATAATTATTTCATAAATGAAAGATTAATCATAATTGAATAAGGATAAATGAATGAATGTCACCGCGCTAGTACCCAAACCGCAGTATGGGGATCCGTCTGCCCCAGGGGAGTCCTGCTGCACTTTTTGTCAGTTACAGTGTACATGTATAACTTTTGACCTTAAGAAAAATCCTGCCGGGATCAAAACATATGGCCCTCCTGGTTGGTTGTTTGTATTTTTGGTTACCGTAGCCAGCAAGCACTGTGCAACAGTTTTTGAAAGAAATTTTCTTCCAAAGTTCATTAAGGGGCACCAAACTTCATTCAGCTGCAATAACTCGCAATATCTTTGTAAACGCTAACGTTGTGTTGTATTACTTGGGTTCAATTCCTCAATTTATTCCAACCATTGAATTATGTCACACCCTGTTTTTTAAAAGAAATTTTTCCAAAGAATTAAATCAATGATCAGTCTTCACATATTGTCATTTTTATACAAAAGCCAAAGGGAATATAAAATAAACGCAGATTTGTTGACCAGAAATAAATTTTATTGCAAAAAAACATCGAACAAGGAAGTAAATGAAACTCCACTGCATCATGACAAGTCAACAACTTGAAGAATTATTTTGTAAAGTAACGTTACTGTTGACACACCATACATTATTAAAATTACTATGAATGGACTTCACCCGAGTTTCATCTAAGAAGAATTAATCAAGCAACCTTTTAACATTAAACAATTAACCAATGTTTTACAAGGCTAAAAGGGAACCGAATGCCAAAAATGGCTACCCAAGCATAATAAAAAGTAAATTACAACTGGGCATGTTGGACACTGTCAGGAATTATATTGTGAATTACAGGTACGCAGATTTCACCCATATTTCAAAGAAGTTAGTATGTGTACCAGTTACATTTTGTATGGAGATAAAAAATATAAGAATAAAATGTTATTCTCCTGCTGCACCTTATAGCATCAGACTGTGTTTAAAACAGCTTTACAAATCGTCTACATTATCACCCAAAGCAGAGTCTTGGCCGCCAGAAAATAAACGTCGCCAGCAGTGATGTCAGAGTGGTTGGTTTCTTGCTGTGGATGACATTGACGTGTACGTGGCTCAATAACTGATACAGATGACCAGAAATGCTTCCTCGAAGGCATATCCTGACGTACCAGGTGACAAACTGTCAAGAAACAGATTTAAGAAAATAACTCTCCGTTTACAGAAATGGAGATCATGAAACAAACTATATAGGGAAATTGACTGGGTGCTTACAAATGATTATAAAGATGAAAGAAGAAATTGACGGGAGAGATGGAGCTGTAGAGAAATAGACCTTTGGTCTAGAAAAGCACAATTCATTTTTCTACCCTAAAAAGGCCAGTATAAATAGTACATGACTGAGTATACACAACAGTCCATGAGAGGGCGAGAAAATAAACACGTTTGGCCTGTTTCATGCTGTATTTACCATAAACCTCACCTAGGAAAGTTGTCCATATCTACTGGTAGATCATGTAAGAATCTCTGTGATACTTCACTTTGATGCCTACACGGTATGTGTTACGTATCCATAGAAGCATGTTTTCTCAGCCTTCAGTTCAGCAGCTCTTTTCAGCTATTCTCCAACCACCACCCAAACAATGTATAAAAGAACATTAATGTTGAAAAGATATTTTCAAGTTTGCATTTTTCCATGAATTCCAGCAATCATAAATACAAGTACTTGTTTCAGGAGGGCTTTTCAAATACTGAAATTATATCAATGGAATAAACACATGAATTTGAAACCATGTTTTTCTTTTGTCTATTATATGGCGTATACTTTCAAATTTCTTGATGGTTGTAAATCTCCCTCAATTTATCTAGGTTTGTACACTTTGGAAAGAATGCTGCATTATGATTCCATTTTTTAAACATAACACTGAAGATGGGTTCGATTATAAACTACATATAGGTACACAAACCTCAATCACTTGACTCGGTGCACATGGATGGATCCCGTCCCTTTTTCTTGCCTTTCCATATTAAGCATTCTTTCTTGCCACACATGCTACAAAGTGGAAGCAAGACATGAATGGATCAGGATAGGATGGTACCAAACAACGGTCATTCATCTAGGCAGAAATTTATCAAAGAAATAAATAGATAAACACTGGAAATTCAAATAAAATCTGGGCAAGATTTATAAAAACATGAAAGAAAATGTATACAGTATACTGGCTATATTGGGACGCACATGAGTGGGCATGGTGGGACAGACATGCCTACAGTCCCAGAGTTGTCCTTGAACAAAATGTCAGAGGCAAGTCTGATAAGAATAACTTGGCACAGTTGGTATACTGTATGGTACTTGGTCATGTTGGTAGGCGTGGTAAGCTAAAGTAGTGTCACATTCTACAGCAAAATCATTCATGAGTTGAGCCTTGAAAGACATACACACCTTTTTCCATGCTCTCTGTGACATCTGCATTCCCTAGTTGTACCTCTTGCTCACACTTGACTTTTGTCCTATGAATTTTTTGGTGTTGAGTGAACCTGCATTTTCGGCCAAAGCCAAATCTCCCCGACACTTGCATTTGCAACATTATCAACTTGTACTGATTTAGATACTGACTACACTTGTCGGCAACACAGCGCTCCTTGCTATCACAGTCTGAAACTTTCCACCACTTCTCAACAGACAATTACAGGATATTAACCTTTTTTCACATTCGGGAACACTAACTCGGATTTTTCTTCCTCAGGCTCCATTTTTTAGTCAAGAGTATGCACAGCCATGACAGCATGTGCATGTAAACAAATCCCAAAATTAAATCCACGGAGAAACCTTAAAATCCCAAGGAAAATCCTCAGGTGCAGGGACCGGATGACTCCTACATTCTACCTGTATAAATAGAAAAAATAAGGAAACCCCATAGTTATTGAAAAAGGTGTGGGCCCATATCCAAGGGGACCGTCGAACCCAGTACAGGTATAATGCGCACAGGCTTGCAGGCGTAGCATACATTGTGTGGACCTCTGCACAAAAGAAGTCCACATAATGTAGGGTCCGATGGCGTTGTGTCGACTCGCACACGTCCACACAATGTTTTCTCCTCTCTGAAAAACAGTTTTAGGGGCCTAGCTCGGCGGAGTTATCCTAAGTAGAGAAAAAGCAGCATTTTCCTCAGGTTTCCTTAATCACAGGAGGACAAGGGAATGTCCACACTTTGTATGTAAAACAGGTATGCGTGGATACGAGTACGTTTCGGTACGAGTTAACTTTTAACGCATTGCACTAATACGTACAATGACGTCAAATTACCCGACTAAAAGGCACAAACAAAAACTTTCCGTTCTCATTCATCTTCTTGCATGAAACTTTCTCATTAGAGCGTTCATGATATTCCCCACTAAATAAAGATATCATGAAAAACCCGGCAAAACTCACAAAGTCCTCTCTAAAATGTTGACTTCACTTCCCACTTCTGACTGTTACATTGGAGGTACATGTACGTACGCCTAAGAAAGGCAGGCACAAATTGGCAGAAACTGATTTTTATCGTGTGCAAGTTAGAAAAAGGGACTTTCAGTGTTTTAAATATTAAAAGGTACAGAAATGACGGGCAAGCAACTATATCTGAGCTTGATGTTGATCGATTACTTTTGGGGTCCACCTGTTCGAGTCAAGAGCCAGTTCACTGGCTTCTGGTTATGGTGGGCTTCAGTACGCATGCACACAAACTAAGTGAGGCATGAACATTCGTGAGACACGAGGCATTGGTCAAGTGCCGGCAAGAATCTTGAACAGTTGAACACCACATTTTTTCACGATTAGACAGTTTATCCTCTACCCAGTTCGAGGTCGTCCTGTTCAAGATCGGGTCTCATACGGCAAATGAAAGCAGTGTGGCAGCATTAGAGTACACCACCACCACGTCTATATTTCCGGAAGACGGTGTAACTTGGGATGTTGATCTCAGCATCTAACACAGCTTCAGTTAGCCAAGCCTCAGTCAGAGCAAGGAAAGTAAACATACCACCTGGCTGAGGGTGGGGGAATTAGTGAGCTTTTTTTGAAAGTTTTCACTGGTCTAAACATGCAGCTATTACCTACGTTTAAGCATAAGATGTCTGTGATCTTGTTATTGACGTTAGCACCAGCAGTTTCTTTCGAGTATATCGAGTAATGGTACATCCTAAAGAAAGAGTTGAACTAACGAGTCAAACGCGGAATGAAATACGTGGGAACTTCTTGTTTATAAAAACACATGTCCTGTTGCATTGAACAAACACACAGTTTAATCGCTACTATCTGCTCAAAATGTGGCCTAGAAATTTTGTTCCAGTTATTTATCTAAAAATGAGGGCATTTTTACGAGAACAGTCGAAGGCTTTAATCGTTTCATCTTGTTTATTCGTAAGGTATACAGCAATTTGAACGGAAATGAAGGAATTAGAGAACACATAAATACGCTGGAAATTATTTTGACGATTCAATCAAAAGTTGCTCTAGGAAGACTGTTGTATTCAACTTTGTAGGCTTTTACTTTTCTCTTAAAAGTGTGCAGCCCAATCCTCCAACCGACCATGAAGCTTCTTCTGCTGTGTCTGTGTGTTGCTCTGGCTCATGCTCGACTGGCTCCTCTCCTCACGACCAACGGGCGTGCCGTACCCGACAGCTGGATCGTAGAAGTCGAGGTAGGTTTCGAAAGAACCTTGCATATAAAATTCGCTTCGAGCAGAAGGACCCTCTCATTGCTTGAAAAGAGCCATATTGGTCGGAAGTGTTAATTTTGTTGGTAGTGATGCGACCTTAAAGCGTGCATTTCATAGTCGTTCGTGAACCAACGAATTTTAGCTCCGACCGAAGGAGCCTCCATTGCTATAAAATTGGTCCAGCTGGGGCATCATAATACCTTGCTTGGTCAACCGACTCGTGCAATGTTAGACGGGAGGGCGCACGTTCCTCATTTCGTCAGTTATATGCAATGTTCATAATACTACGGAGTTATTTGAAATAAAAGGTGCCATTTAGAATGATTCAGTGACGTCACCAAGGCTTAATGTCTAGGGGGCGCCCGGGGATGCACACAACTTTTCAAGGGGGTACCACAACAAAATAAGCTGCAGCTGCACAGCTCTATAAACTCAACGGAGATTATTTAGAGATTTCACAAAAGGGCACCCGGGGGGCAAGGGCATCCGCTAGGGGGGGGGGGGAACGTGCCTCCGTGCCCCCCCCGTAGTTAGGGTACTGGACTTATTGTACAAATATGCCTATGAATTAAAGCACTTGAGACCAGCTCAGGGTAGTCGCCTAGTCGGTCACAAAAGAATCAATGTTGGGGGTCTATGTTATAAGAGATTTACTCCCGCGTAGTATTTTGGGGATGGCTAGGATAAAGTATTGACGTGGCTACCACTTGTGAAATAAAAAGAAAATATTCCTTGTGGTTATTATCTTGAATTTCAAGTAAAACACAAGTTATGAAATTGTTCCTTAGCGTTACCTTGAAGCACCCTTTCTATTTTGCGCTGTTTTCTATGAGAAGTCAATGGAGTGCAACCATGCAATTGCTCTCATAGATTCCGTGTAGCCTACATGTATTCCAATGTATTCCATGCATTGACCGTACAAAGACGTACAAAACAAGTGTCTCAAGCCTAATGCTCGCCGAAATTTCGGCTGTGCGAGGAGCCTATCCGTGACAGTCGGCATTTGGCAGAACGAATTTTTAGGAAGGATGGTCGACGACCCACCAACCAGATGGCGTAGATTTAAATCAGGAGAAAATATGAAATGTTAGCTAACCTACTAAAGTCTATTACTGCTGTGTATTTCAGGATTTTGACCAGCTGGGGCGCGTGCAAGAAGAGATTGAGGACATCTTCTCCATATTCCGTGCACCTGCTCCCAAAATCACCAAACTTGAAATACTCATGCCGGTTCTGATGCTTAAGATTCCACAACACATCCTCACCCGGGTAAGTTACCAGGTCAACTTTGGATTTCCATCAGACGAGAAGTAGCTGTGAGTTGTCAGTGAGTCAACAATGTAGTTTGAAATTCTCTTGCATCTTTTGCGAAGGCAGAAATAGTCACATTCCAAAGTGGATAATTTTCATTTATTTTTCGTGCTTTATTTTTGTATGTTGCTTGTTGTTTTATAGGTTGTTGTTATTGCTTGTTCTTGAAATGCTAAAAGCCATATCATTTTGGTTCAGGTGCGTGCTATTGAGGGTGTTGAGTACATTCACGAGGACTCCATCTTAACACTTTTCGGCTCACAAAATAACCCACCATGGGGTATTGATCGCATAGACAGTCGCAGTGGAAGGGACGGTGTGTTCAACTACAACGATGATGGTATGTTACTTTGGCATAACGTGATCATTACTTTCATAAACTGCCAGGGAAGTCAGAAGATGGACCATAAGAGTCGAGCGGTGCAGATTCCTTTAAAGAGGAATAAATAAAAAATACATTATTAACAACTTCCGTAAAAGTTTTATCACCGAAGCAAACCTAGCTGTGATTGTAGTGTATCTCGTTATATTTATTAAAGCTTCCTATTGAATGAAGTTGTTTCAGCAATGTGCTTGTTTATTAACTTGAAGGTATTGATGAAGGTAAGTTCCAGAGTAAACTGTACCTCTTACTGCTCATTTAAACGCCAATTTAACGGTACCATAATTAAATTTACCAACTGTTGCAAATCATCTAGTAATCCTATAGCATTTAGTGTAATCCGAAGAGGAATGTGGTTCCTCCCATAATAGTTATTTACGATGACAAAAATAATAATGATGATAAGATTAATAATGGTAAACATTCCGTCAAAGTCAAAGTGGAAGTCGCATACACCCAAGATGCATTGCCATTGCTGCCCGTCTGACATACGTCCCCTCAGCTTTTCTTCGTTGCGCTAGTGTAAAGTGACAGAGAAGCTTGACATACAAGAATTTGATGCTGTTTGGATTTGGTTCGCACGAAATGAGGTCCTAAATTAGCTCTTCAGTGGCGCAAAGAGTATGGCCAGCAAATTTTAGCCACCTTGCGTTGAGGAACAAAACCTTAGCCATATATCTGATTGTTGCACGGGCTAGCTGTCTAGTCCATGTTGTGGGCTATACGAAGCAGACGCACGAAGCACCCATTAGGTCATCAGGTAACATTTCTTGGTTTGCGGACCAAAGTTTCGGCGTTTTGCATTCGTATAGTAGCACAGGATCAACTGTCACTCTGAACAGCCTCAGCTGAGTGTTCATAGGGAGAGTGGAGCTTTCTAGATTTCAAATAATTTTCTGCAGGCACCAAAATCCAAAGCTTTCCTGATTAAAATGTCCTTGTAGCTGGTGCACATCCGGCCCCAACCTACTTGAAGTCTTGCACTATTCCAGGAGGGTGCCGTCTTATAGTGTCAGATTATAGTGGTACTTTACAGCATTCCATGGACTTGGTCCTCTTCCTATTGCTTTGAGGACTAACAACGGAACCTGCCTGCTCCGGGGCCAGTAGTGGTTCTGGATGATCAAAGTTCTGTTGTACGGCTTTGCTGAAAGAGAGGTAAGGCCGCTGTAGGCCGTGGAGTCACTTTAGGTCTCCTTGCTTTGGAATGGGGGGGACGAGTATTTTTCCCATTCTTGGGGAGCAATGTTGGTTTCCAAAGCAATGTTTAATGATGAGATTGTTTGAGACAATACCAGATTAGAATGACTAAGCCAGGAGACCGTCCCAATCAGGAGCTATGAACTTCGTATCTTTAGAGGCAGATTTAAGTTCATCCATAGCTAAGAGATCTATCAAAATAGGTAGCAAGTATGAGAAATTTCCTGGGATAGGCAAATAGCTATAGTCTACAGTATATATCATGCTACTTTGGGAAATGGGCCTGTCTGGTTGCACTCCTCTCTGCTGGTTTACCCTTTTTGATCTTTGGAGGTGTGGATATTGGATATGTGGATATGAACAACTTCCCAAGCAAACTTGTACTTAGCCACACGATGTGCCTTTTCAACGATAGCACGTCACTCCTCAAAGTAGGTCTCAACCTTGTTAGAGAGGCCTTTAGACATCTCTAAGCTAATCTGGCTGCGCACTGCTTAGGAGTTGAGACTATGTTTTTTTCTTCATCAACTCCTGTATATCTGTGTCATCCCTAAGGACTCTGCGCCTTCTTCGCGGGACTTCAGGGTGAATTGATTGGCTTCCGTGCTATTTGACCTAGAAGTGAATCAGACAACGATGTCTAACGGTTGTGAATACACGGTTGAAGTTGTCTTTGACCTGACTGGGATCTAAAAGGAGAGTTTGGTTGCGCTTTGGGGGTCTCTAGAGAGGCAGTGAGGATCCTGTGATCTGAGTTGATTTCTCGATTTGTGAAGGACGAACCATTTCTCCATTTCTTTTGCATTACTCTGTGGTCAATTTCTGTCTTCAAGGGGGAATGTAACCTTTCTTGCGGGCCTTTTCAACCCATTCATGAGCATTTTCTTTCATGATATGTAATATTTTAATCTATTTTTGAAAGCTTCTCCACAATGAACATTTTAAAAATGTCATTTTCTCTGATAGCTCAGGGTGAAGGGGCGAACATATTCATTGTGGACTCTGGCGTCAATATCAATCACCAGGCATTTGGTGGACGAGCTTCCCTTCTATTTGGGGAAAAAGATGTTGGTGGACATGGTACTCACTGCGCTGGCATAGCTGGAGCAGACATCTACGGCATCGCACGTAAAGCTAAAATCTACAGCTGCAACGTGTGCAGTGGAGGGTGCTGGAGTAATACAATTGCCAGCGGTATGTTTGGCAAACACTTAATTCCAAGACTTTGTTTTTAATAATCTCACAAGTGTTATTCGTGTGTGTAGTTTTGTCTCACCCACGTACTCTTGTCCTGTCACTGAACATACACTGAACTTTGTTCTTGAAATTCAGATGCAGGAGAAAGGTCGCGGGAGGCTCAGCATGCAACCAACAATTTCCACATGTATTCAATTAAAGCGATTTTTAAAAAACAGTTTGCGGTAACAAATTTTTTAGGGTACGACTGCTCTTTTCCGCTTTACCACTCCTATTCGTTGCTCACCTCGTACATAGCAGCCGGTACGAAAGAAAACTGTCCTTACACTGCTATAGTTATTTGGATTTTGTGCAGGTGATCTGTACATTTAATACCTGACTGCAAATTACAACAGTAACTCCTAATGCAAGATTGTGCAAGTGTCTATTGCTGGAGAGAGTGAATGGAAACATTCTGATGTGGTCGCTGCACAGCCATTCCGGGAAACATGCACTGAACTTCACATTTAAAACTAAACAATAGCAATTGTTTCACCGTATGTTTCGGATTCATTCTTGAATACAACAACAAATTATTAATGTTAAACTTAATCCCTTAAAGTGTAGGGCCCTACAAGTCTCAAGAAAAACTCTTCGGTTTGTGATCTCAGAAGATTATTTATGATAAACCTTCAACGTGAGTTCAGCCAAAAATCCTTGACCTTTGACTTCTAAGCAACTTAAAACGGAACTCATAATTGACCATATTCTTATATAAAAGCTGATCATTAAGTTATTCATGCTGAAGATCCTCAAAAAATTTAGTTTTCCCACCGAAGAAATGGGTCTAGTGTCTAAATCCTACGTCACAGGAATAGAACACGCTGATTTAGTTTATAGTATCACCACAAAACAATCTAATGATTCTACTTTCTGAAACGAGCTTGTGGAATAATTGTTTAAATGTACAATCACAAGCGATTTTACCATTTGGGTCACGATTTGTGGATTTTTAACAAACCAAAAAAATGAAATGACAATTTCTTTTGACGTGCAGGACAAAATCTGGTGAGGTGATTAAATGACAAATCCTTATGTGAAAACATGAAGTATCCCATCCACCAGGATTCACACCCCTTCACTCACAGGTTTGAGGAAACGGGATACTCAAAATGGACTAAATCACCTGAAAAGAGGTCTTCTCACATTTATATCTGGAAGGCTTTTTTGTTTTTAAAAAGACTAAACGCTTTTCCTTTCCACACTCGAGATCAACAAGCATGTGAATGCCACCACGCTGCTTTCCTTGAACAGCGATTTTGTCTACTTTTCAACTAACAGTTGTTTCCGTTTCCTCACAAGCTTTGGATTATATTGTCCAAAAATTCGGTTCCGGCAATGGCAAGGGAGTGGTATCAATGTCCCTGGGCGGAGGGTATAGTAACCTCATGAACACTCTCGTCCAGAGGATGCTCAACAGGGGATACACAGTTTCTGTTGCTGCGGGAAACTCAAACATCGATGCCTGCAATGTTTCACCAGCAGCAGTGAAAGGAGTGAGTTTTTGTTTTCCACTGTCAAAATGTCATAAAAGTACCGAGTCCGTTTGCCGATACTCCGTCAGAGATTTAGATATGACTCTCCATTCCCCAAAACGCTGTCTCCCTTGCTGCTAGCAAGCACATCGCTCGCTCTATTCAGCTCTTTTTCAGAATAAAAATGGAGTGACTGGGACCACGGTGTCGGTGTGTTTTCACAATTAACACCCTCCACCAGCCCTCCATAATATCATAAGTGCAAGTCGGTGATATACAGGAATGTGGTGTATGTCACGTTACAATTTGTTCAGAAAAAGCATGGCGACATGATGTATGATGAAATGATTCAGCGGTTAGGTTATTTGACGTTTTTGGCTAAATTAACATAACACGACCCCACCCAGAGCGGATGTGCCCGGCAAAAGGTCGTAAGAGCCACACTCTCTTTATTTCGCAAAATGAACCCAATTTACTACCAAAACAATACAACCTACTCGGATTTGTTTTTAACTTTTTGCAAAGAAATCTTTCTATCTCATTAATAAAAAACAGTTGCATAGTACATACGACCTTTTGCATGGAAAATGTTTTTTTTTTGCATTAATAATGCTTCCCAGAAAAAGAGCGTAAGCGCTTACGCCCTTCTTCCAGGCACACAACGGTATATCAACTTGGTCAGAGTTACTGCCACTTTAAAGTTCTATCATTCTGTTATTATTTATAGACCTTTTCACTAAAGATTTTTCCCGTTTAATCTCGCCCGCACAAAAAAAATCACGATTGTGAAGACCTTTTACAGAGCAGTAAAGCTTCAGCTTAGATTTGAAACTAAATAGCAAAAACGATTTCATGGGGTTTTGTAAAGAAAAAGCCGGGAAACCAGAGAGAAAACAGTCAAAATCGCACCCTGCTTATTTTCAATGGCCCTTGCCACCAAGGTCAGTTGTACCCATACAATACAAAGTGTCGACATTCCTTTGTTCTCCTGTGGTTAAGGAAACTTGAGGAAAATGCTCCTTTTTCTCCAACTGGGATAACTCCTTTGAGCTGGATTTTTGATGATGATTTCCTAGACTGTTCCTCTTCATTTTGCCACAGATACTCTTGACCCCAAAATGCCTTTGAAACTGTTTTTCAGAGAGGGGGAGTCCACAGAACGCCATTACACCCTACATTATGTGAACTTCTTTTGTGCAAAGGTCCACACTATAGTATGCCATGCCTGCACACACTTTAACGTGAAGCCCCGCGCACCCCCCCGCTCTAAATGCTGGGTACTCCGCTGTTTAATGTGATAAGGACAGAAAATTAAACCTGACCAATGTTGTTTGCCTGTAAGGTACTCTCCGTTGGGGCCACGAATAGTCACGACAGCCGTGCATATTTCTCCAACCATGGCCCTTGCATCGACCTCTTTGCACCTGGTGTAGGAATCCTTAGTACAGCCCACTCGTCCGACACCGGAAGTATGACTCTGTCAGGAACTTCAATGGCATGTCCTCATGTAACAGGTAAGTTCGCTTCTATGCCAATACATTTACGAACAATTGCTTGTTCAGTCATTTTGTTGAACTCTTGGTCTCTCAATCATGTATAGGTCTCATACTGAAGCCTCAGATTCAAGGTATTTGGAGAGTCCCATTTTTCTGCTATACGGAAAAGCAAAAGTAGCTCTTCAAAATAGATAATTTTCGTTGAGTAATTTTCCTTATTTTTCTTAAAGCAATGTTTTGAGCAAAAGGATATGAAGCATATTTCTGAGATTCATCTGCAGGTGCCGCTGCTGTTTATCTGGGATCAAACCCAGGTTCATCTCCGCGAGCGGTGCATTATGCCATTGTGAATAATGCGACTCCCGACGTAGTGTCTGATGCCAAAGGATCCCCCAACAAGTTGCTCTATGTCAAGGTAAAATTTATGTTAAATTGTGTTTTACCAAAGTGATACTGGATTTTCGGCCATATTGATAAAGAATCATTAAACTTAACATCCGGCTCGCCCACTTCCAGTACGAAATAAATGCCTCGCTCTTAAGAAAAAGAGTTATTAACATTTGACAGTTGAGAATTCTCTCAACAAATTTAAACAGTTTAAATTAATCATTAAAAGGACTTTCAAACGCTACAAAGGCTACAATAAAAATATTGTATCAGTTTCATATATCTGATCCATAAGATTTTTTCAGACTGTATTGTATAACCTGTCATTAATAATGGGATATTAAGTTAACAAAAAACAAGAGAAAAAAGGAAAATAAATAATTTGATAAATGCATGACATCACATCAAAAGAGAGCTTAATTCGTACGAGTTTACTCTGCTTTTAACAGAATACTCACAAACTAATGACGACCAATTAAGGAAAACAGGTTACAAATCCACGTGCCTCTGCAACTCTGAATTTGACCGCACCCCTTCAAAACAGACTTTAGAGACTGAATTTGATGATGAAAAATATTACCAATAATTTTATATATGAAGTGCAGCGGGATTTTTCAAGACGTTGGACACGCTAAACGCGTAATGACAATCTCAAAGTGAGGCACTTATTTATTATAATTATTAATTTATTGGTCATTATCACGAAGGACAATGCAAAAATTCACAGAGCCAACAAGATGACAGGAGCTGAGAAAGTGAACTTCATCACTATTGCCAGCAGGCACACAGCCGCAAACAACAACCAACAAAATACTCTCTCTAATTTGAATGATAAGATCCAATTCTGCACGGAGTGCATAGAAATCGTCATTACTTCGTAACACATGTGACAAACATGTCACTATCTAAACTAGGACACTCGATTTTATCTGTTTTGACATGTGACATATTTTCTTATTTTAATTTGCAGCCGTAGATGCCAGAGATTAGCATCACATGACACGATTTAGAAGGCTTGGCATGCAAAAGGAAACTGCGCATCTTGGCTCGACCATTTTCGGTGGCGGGGGATAATATCAATGGATTAAGACTGCTCAAAGACAAAATTTAAGACTTTGAAACAAATTTAGACACCATATCCTGAATCCATTAACAAATGGTACTGTAATACCTCTTTGTCAACTTGTAAAAAATACGATCAGTGAAGTTGATAATTTGGTTAAATTTATAAAGCACTGTGCATTATATAGGAAGTGGGCCTGTCATGTACATGCCTTACCCATAAGACAAAGAAAAAAATGTTTCTCGTCCGTTTTTTGTTCTGTTTTTTGGTTTTTTTTTTAAAGGAAGAAACGGGGCTTTTTATTTTTTGTTTTTACAAGATGGCCACCATTTTAAAATGTCTTGCAACCGTTGGTGTTTCTACTGTTCAAAGACGCGTTAAAATGAAAGACAGGTTGGACAAAAGAACTGAACATATTTACAGTGTCGTTTAGTGTTGTATTGGTCTACAACGAACAGTTTTAGATACATTTCTTTTAACCTCCAAAAGTCAAGAGTTATTTTTGATGAGTAATTTTAAAGATAAAATCAAGCACCAAATGTCAACTCTCAAAACCAACTAGTGTACACGCCAAGCCATAAATAAAAAATGTGTTTGTGTTTTTCCATAAACATATGAAGATTGATTAAAAATATTTGAGGCATTTTTTCTTTACATTTTGTCGGTTTACTTTTGCACATCTACATTTTTTCTACTACAAAGACTTTGCCTTTTGGACCTGTGACATACGATGTATCCATCACTGTTTGTTGACTAGTGCTTTGGTGAAATGAAACAAAACAAGATTCAGGCTTATGATGAGCGCTCATGCATGCATGAGTGACAGAAAACATCAGCCGCGCTAGACTGTTTCCCGCCCCCTCTCCTGCAACTTTGTAAGTCCGAATGCATTGATGAAAATGGGATCGGGAACCAGACTACGTCCGAGCGAGCCAATTCATTAAAGACGCGCTCGAGCCTGAGCTGACAGGGCGTTTTTGAAACGAGTGGATTAGACGGAGTCGTCGGCTTCGCTGATTCCAGCCAGTTGATGCAGCATTCTAAACTGCATTAGAGGCTCAGACTGGAACCAGCGAAACCGAAAACCAAGCCTAACCCATTCGTTTCGAAACGCCCTTAAGTCCCATAGCGGTCACATGCTGGATATGAAGTACATGTACGTACAGTTTGTGCAGACAGATTCGGGTGAACTCGCCTTGCCCTACACTCTCACTAAGACGTGTTTTGCGATCGCACGTCGATTTATGTGATGTACAAAGTGACTGACAGAGTCTGTACTGAAAACTTTGACTCACAAAGTTTGCAAGTATTTGCTTTCTGATGAATTGTTTTTTCTCTGCATTTTTCAAAAATAATAAAAGAAATCCAGGTGGCCTCCAAAAAGGAAGCGGGCGGGGACGAGAAACAATGAATCTTTGCTGTAATGCATGTCTTCTAGGTATAGGTCCTTAAAAGATTTCCATCTCCTATATTCAGAAAGCTAGCGGGGAAATGTGATTTATGAGTCCTTTGTTATAATAAATATGATTTGACCATAAAAGGGACAAACTACCACACGCGTGCAGAACTTGACACGGTGCCACTTCAGAGTGTTAAATTATTTTCATATTAAATCATCATATTAAATCAACATTGCTTCTACACTAAGAATGTACCCTAAAGGGATTCTATTTCCATTGGCAAGAACGTTAAAAAGACAAACAAGAGAGATGACGACCCTTTGAAAGCTCAACGAAAATCCTGTATTACGATGTCAAAATTAAACAATATATATACAAATAATAAGCCTCCAATGAATGAAATAAAATAACCCCTGCATTTACTTTATGTCTCCGTTTATTCCTTGAGTGGATGTTCATATTTGAGTGTTTGACATTATGTTGTCCGACTGAGAGCAAAAAACTTTTTTGATGAAGATTTTTGGTATATTACATGACATTCTTAGTCTGCGGCCATTTTCCATGCTAGGCCGTATACGAATCTGATGTTTGGATGTGAAGGCAACCGAAGCTGTGGAGGCAGCAATGGCCGTTTCTGGTTTCCATCCTATACGTAGTCTCCAGACGTCTTGCAGACGTCCTCTGAACGTAGAGATCGGTAGCAGGTACGGTAATGAATCAAGCAGGAGCTGATAGCATATTTTGCTTTTTTCTTCTTCTTGACCAAAAATAACTTCACCATAAATTGTTCAGTTATCAAGAATTCAACACAATAACCACTTACTTAAAACAAATTGCCGCAAAAGGATTTATTGATGATAATCATTCAAAAATAAAGTAGCACACTGTGATCAACTGAGACTAATTAGCAAGGAGAGGTATTTGTTTTTTGACGCCCTGCTGAAACGTATTCCATGCGAAAGCATTGTTACTGGCCTGACAAAAATTTAAATATTCAGCATTCAAAGTGCAGGGCTAATTACACATGTTAAACCACAGCTAGCTACCGGTCCTTACAGGACTTTTAAAAATATATGCGTAATTTATTCACGGCAACTGAAAACGAGGCTATAGGGGACTCGCTTGTCACGATGGCTGTAAACTGAAGGAATTTTTCCATGATTCCCGAGATAACCTTGGGGTTGTGGAGGATTATGTAAAAAAAAGGCCTCTAAAAGTAGTGAAGAGCAACAGCTTGGTTAAGTCTTCAATAATTTTTCAGAGGCCTACATTCATAACCTGAAGGATACGTAGTTTATTAATGGGATTTTATCTGGGTTTTGTTGTTGATGTTGCATGCATGCACCGGTTATGTCTAGGGCTAAAAGGCCAGTTATCGTCACGATCGAGCAGTTTGAGGACTTTTTTGTCATTCCATTCAACTCAATTCAATATTGTACTTCAAAGATGGATTTGCGCCGGGGAGATGGAATCAATTTTGGATTTTTTGCCCTGCCCGACGTGTATATTTAAAAAAAAAACTCCACCAAAAACTGCACTGGTAAGCACGAGGTCGTGGGCTCGAGTCCCACCCGAGTACGCTTGTGTGTTTTTTTCCACAAGCCTTTGGGGGCATACACTGAGTATACAGTGTTAAAATGTAAACGTCGGGCGAGGCAAAAATACAAAATTAATTCAATTCAATATAACTTTATTATCCCATTACAAACGTAAAATAAACAAAGCACAAAAATTAAGAATCAATATAGTTGACAGCTACATAATAAAAAGCTTACTTATACTATGCAATAACAGATCATCTTACAACATTAATAGTTATAAAATAAAGCAGGTAAAATAAATATATCATGATCCTCGGAAAACAGAGAAGAACTGCAGCTTCTCATCATTGCAACTGCTCTTTGTACCACTTAATAGCTGATGGAACAAATTAGCCGCCGTAACGTGCAGTTCTTATTCTCTGTTTTACCAGCTGGTTACTTCTTAGAAGTTACTTCCAGAAGTCCATTGCAAGGAAAACGATGGTGGGCGTAGTTTAATTGATTGGAAACCTCTAAGGCAAGAGGCGGCGTCCAGTCCAATAGTCTCTGCGGTACGTGGAAGGGGTGTGAATGAGGGTCAATGTGTTCACATGCCAGCTGCACCTGGTGCGGTAAAGAAGCTCCACAGCGAGTTGATGCGTTTTGCCACGCGTTCGCCAAGAGTAAAGACTGACAAAGTTCATGCTGATGAGAAGGATGGGGCGGGGCCTTGTCCGGAAAAAAAGGGAGGAAAGAGTTGTTGGAGAAGATGAGCTGCGGGAAAGGCTCAGTCAGGTACCTCGCCGACCAAGTATAGTTCCCGACTGCTACAGTGGTAAAGTTCCGTGGAATGAATACTAAAGGCACTTCGAGAGTTGTCGGTTGGTGAATCGAAGGGACGATTTACAATCAGCCGAGCATTATGCCGCCAACCCCCACGGAGATGCAATTCGTATTCTTGGAGAGGGCGCCCCCGGGGCCGGAAGTTGAAGTATGAGGAGTTAGTGAAGTTGTTGGCTAGAAGGTTTGGACCTGGCCAGCAGGCTGAGAATGTTCTAGTCGACTTACATCATCGTCGGCAGAAGCCAAAGGAGTCTTTGCAAGAGTTATGTCAGGCAGTTTACGATTTAGCAGTCAAGGGGTATCCAGCAATTCCCGAAGAGGCGAGAGAGCGACTGGAGAAAAATCATTTCATGGACGCTGTAGCTCATCAGTACGTCCGAGAGGGTATCATCCGAGCGAGGCCGGAAAAGTTGTCTGAGGCATTGCAGGCGGCGCTTTAGACTGAGAACTTCCATAAGATAGAGGCACAAAGGAAAGTCGACGAGAGACCAGCTCAGTTTGTCAGAGGTATAGATAAGGCCATTGAGGAAAGGATGCACTCTGTCGAGCAAGCTGTAAAGGGTGTAGCCGACATGACGGAGCAATTGGAGAAATTGATCCATGTTTTCACGGCCAGTGACGTCACCAGCTGCGTCAGACCAGCTGCGACAGTTGTCGGATAGCCCACCTCCTCTGCGGAGGCCAAAAGCTGAATTAAATTGTCATAATTTTGGTGTAAAGGGACACTTTGCCAGAGAATGTACACAGCCAAAACAAAAGCGTCCCTGCAACCAGGGAAACGAGGATCAGCCGACCGGAGGGTCCGCGGTAAGAGGACCCACAGAAAAAGGGCGACAGAGTTGAAGAGGAAGAATGAGAGCCTATCAGTATATCACTGGCTACCGAAAGAACAGAGGTCGACTCTACAGGAGTCGATACCGTGTTGATGGTAGCCTGTTGAAAGTATGGACCGCATGGTTAGAGTTGCGTATTGGGAAGACTGTGCACCCGGCTAAAGCCGCCTTTGCAGATATCGGAATATCAGCTACGCGGGGAATGGACTGGTTGTTGTCTACACAGGGCTGTCTAGATTTCAGAAGACTTGAGCTATGTGTCAATGGTGAACGAATTAAGTGTACAAGCACTGCTGGTGAGCCATTCGTCGGCAGAGTGATAGTAACAAGGACTACGGGGATACAGGCTGGGCACTAGACCTTTGTGCCAGGAATGGTTGTTAGTCAGAGTGAAGAGTTTATAGGAAGTATGATCATGGAACCAGTTGAGTCAGGGGGCCGAACTGCGGAAAAGGGCCAGGTAATGGCCAAGTCTTTGGTTGATGTACCTACCAAAGTGGTGCGTATTCGAGTATTAAACCCAAATAAGGAGAAACGTGTCCTGCGTGCGGGAACGGTAGCTGCGATGATAACACTAGTGGAGGTGAAGACTCCACCCACAGCAGAGAGGATTATGGGACACGAGTTGGCGCTACCCAAGCATTTGACCGAGTTGTACGACCAAAGTCGGAGGA